TATTTGAGAACATCTCCCTATAACGTAGACCGTAATCCTTGTGCCTCACTCTGCTAAACAGAATTGGTCTCAGTGCGAAGTGCAAAAGATTTCCCTCTCAATTACCCTGAGCAGGCCATTCTACTGGTCGGAAAGCAGCATTTCCACACATGGGAATTTATCCACTCATAGGAATACAGAGTGGGTGTGATGACCCATTCCTCAACGATTTATACGGTGTTCCAACAAAAGTGTACGCGATTTCAAACTTGCAAGAGTGTGGTTAACGTGGTACAATGCAGCTGCTTTGCAATTGTAGGAATCAAACCGATGAGGGGAAGGTCTAGTTTGAACACAATACTCTCCCTTTAGAAATTCCTGAGACTTATTAAGACAATTGGTGGATTATTAATACGATATATATTCAACTTTGGGGTAAGCCTAGCCCATAACCATCTTTCCTCATTAAAAAATTGAGTGGCATCACTGTATGAAAAGTCAACAGTGGTTGTCCTGTGGAAGTGGACATTGAAATAGGTCGTAAACGTGTGCAGAATGGAGCAGTGCAGGTTGCCGAAGCAGTCAGAGGCCAAGGTAGTGATGCGACTACTGTTTTAGATACCCCTTTAAGAGGTTAGTTGTTCACCTTACAAATGCCGAATCTGGCAGAATAAGTAAAGCTACGCCGCGGTGTAATGCCATCAACGTGATTGGCCGAGACTTTTTGACCTTGGCAGACACATGTTCTTCAATTCTGCTGCTCTACCAATTCCCTCCCCTCTGCCCCCCCCCCCCCATGTAAGGTGCACAGCAGGTTCTACAACACTCAAAGCCTGTCGAGATGTTTGCAGAAAGGCATCGATTACATATGCAAATGCGCATGTGTGTATGTATGCCAGTGTCAGGCAGCAAAGAGCATGACTTGTGAACTTTGACCAGAGGTGGGGATAAAGTAATGGTGCCATAAGCACCGTAATCGAATTCGGGTACTCCATCATCCATAACTTGTAATTGTTGTTTTTGGGAAGGAATTGCCCAGGAAATATGAAAGCTTAGCACATTCGTTAATAGCACTGCCTTTAAATAAAAAAAAATACGTATAATAGGTGACGTGTCCGTCAAATGGCCTAGCTTCATCGAACATATGACACGCCAGAGAGGATTGGAGACTGCCCTTAACGTCAGTAATAAGCAGAGGTGTGGACTCGAGTCATGTGACTTGGACTCGAGTCAGACTCGAGTCATGAATTTGATGACTTCAGACTCGACTTGGACTTGCATAACAATGACTTTGTCCCACCTCTGAGATGTGGACTCGAGTCATGTGACTTGGGCTCGAGTCAGACTCGAGTCATGAATTTGATGACTTCAGACTCGACTTGGACTTGCATAACAATGACTTTGTCCCACCTCTGGTAATAAGTATAACCCGTAAAAACAAAGTTTTTCACTCTAAATCCTTTATATGCGTGGCGGCTAGAGTCCTCTCGTCCTCTGGCTTGAGATGGCTGCCACCTATGGGTCAGATGATTGTCTGTAGTATTAAACAATTGGTAATTAAATATTTAATTTGTTTGCCGAAGCCATGAATGAGTTCTATTTGAATATATGTAAAATAAAAAAAATTTGCCTAAAAAGTGTAAAATTTTGGAATTGTTTTTCACGAACATTAATTGTCTCGCACAACGAGTCTGTGTGCAGAATGTCAGCTCGATTGGATCACGGGAAGTGGTTTAAAAAACGACCGAAAGGTTTGCACGGTCGTAAGCAAGCAAGCAAGCACGCAAGCACGCAAGCAAGCACGCAAGCAAGCAAGCAAGCGAACTTAATATAAAGGATTTAAAAGTGGAACGTTTTGTCCAACGGTACCTCTCTCACGAATGAAGTGCGTGCCACGTGTCTTGCAGAAATTCACCGCCAGCAGAGTTTCTCAAAAAAAAAATCTCCCTTCGAAATTCGCGACTTCAGTTTTGGTGGAAGGTCACATTTCGAGGCTGTGTAGATAGCGCCTTGTAATCCCTGACAAGTGATTGAAGCCATTAAAGTATCTGTGCTGTGCCAATAACAAAATTAACATCATACTGTAATTAGGGTTGCTGGGGTCATGTAAACCAATTAGTTGCAATATACAAGAAAATATAATGATCTATTCTCAATCGCAGGAATTTAAAAGTATACCACGAATGTTATTTGCTTTAATTGCAGAATCGATGCATCTTTAACATCCCCTAGCATTTTGGACTGCGAGTGCTCTCTTGAAAATGGTCTCTCCACCATAAGGGATTTTACATAAAATAAATGACAATACTCGAACGACCATGCCATTTTAATCACGTGCACTGCTTTTAATTAGGGACCATTTCACGAACAAAGCAAAGCAGGTACAGTATCCTATGCATCAAATTTCTTGGGGTTATTTTACATATATTTTAACACTGTACAACTACAGTGGCAAAATGTAATTTACATTTAAAAATGTATATGTTGCAACCTTAGCATTCACTTTACCTCAAACCGACAGCAAATAAAGCTCCTTCTGATGTTAGTTCATAACAGGAAATGCAATAATTTTGTATTCAACAAACAGAAAACGGCTCATCTGGTTAAAGTGCTGGACAGGTATATCCATTTAGGATATGATCACACTCATTAGTTAAGTTCTCATCAAAATGTCTCATTAGTTAAGGTCCCATGTGAATGTCGTTTCTACAGCCCTTTGTCAATACACTCCTGCCTGGATGAAAGCCTTCTCATGCCATGTCACTTATGGGGGTTGTTTGACCATACTTCATTGCAGTGTCCAGTGTGATTGTCGGTAAAGGGGAGCCCAGGACCAGTTCAAATATCACTTGCCACTCAAACTCAGCTCACCTCAAGTCCAAGAAGCTACATGCTAACTACTGCACCAGCTCTATAAATATGAAATTAGTTAAATGATGCATTGTTTATTGATGTATTAATTCATGCATGCAGGCTTTAAATTAACTACGGAAATCACAAGCATAGATGGTCTCAATCACAACGCTTGTCATGTATGCAAACAATCTTGTGAATAATAAAATAATAAAAATAAAACATATTTTTTGGTTATTTCCCTTCTACGTGACTTTACCGAAAGAACCAAGAATATGAATCCCTGCAGTCACGAAAGCTTTAAATCGAAATACAAAAATCTTGTGAAGCCTACTCGCAGCTTTCTAAAAACACATTTGAAGAAGAGATACAGCAAAAAACATTTTTTTTCTGTATTACTGATGTCCGATTGTACTCTTTCACACAAACTAACCATGGACGGTTACGGAGTGCTGCCAAACATTGTTAGAGCAACCATGTTGTTGTACATCTTTGCAAGTGTGTGGCAAAAGCCCTGGATTCAGGGTGCGATCAATTCAAGTAGGCGCATTTACTTGCAATATCAATCGAGCACCATGTTGCAAGTTGATATTTGCGCGTCAGCTGTGCGGAGCTGCTTGATGAGGGCCATGCACGGTTTGGCTCGTTTTGACTTCATCCGTGCACCACAATAATTTCGTGTTCCACATTTAGTTGTCGGATGGAATTGCACTATCACCTCAAAATCACTGAGCACTGCTGGACTTAAAATTAATCTTTCGTGGGTATCGCTTTTGGGAAATTATGATTATGCAAACGCATTAGCTACTATATAGCATCGCGATGTAAGCCGACAGCAATAAATGAGGAACACATTTCACTGTGCATGAAATAAATGGCAAAGAGCGGAGTTAAAATGTTCCATCATTCATATATTTCTTAAAATGTTTACATTAAAAAATATATACTGTGTGGTTCATTACAACAAATACATGTCTTAGTATTTTAATCTCGCCAAGGGAGGATTTGACAAAAGCTAATTGATCAATAAAGCACGAGCCATTTCATAGAAATATCTGCAAAGACTCAAGAGGACACAATTCCATATTGCTTGGAAGCTGCAACTCTGATAGATTTAAGTCAGAGATTTTCACCTTGCAGTCTTCACACCTTCGCACAGTCCAGGTTTCGATAAACACTAAGCAACGTAAGTATGCAGCGTTACGTTGCATAACATGCATTTGACCGGATAATATGCATTGCTAAATGCAAAGGCACTGGGGGTAAGGCATGGGGGAAAAAAACGCTTGAGAATGTGTCCAAGTGGAAAATGAGCTTTTAAGGCTCACTCGAAGTCCTTTGAGCGTAAAACAATCAGTACTTGTAGATGTGTTTACAATAATACGCATTGTGTGATTTGAATTTGAACGTACTGCATGCCTATGTTTAAAGCGAGATGTGGAAAATAGACTTTGTGTCTGGGTGTCGATCTTATTGACGAGAGGCCAGAGTTGAGCACCTTTGGTAATGGAATCCACGTGATGATACACAATATGTGTATGCTGGGGAACACAGTATAAATGTTAATAAGACCATATTGCTCAAGGGGAAACTGAGGTGAACCCACATGGCAATGTGCTGTTGTCACCTTGGGAATAAGTGCAGTGCGTCTAGAAACACGTGGGTCAAAGGCAGGGCCAGGGTTTAACATGGACTTCGAGAATGCCGTAGATCTGACCAGACAAACATACACGACTTTTGGCGAGCGTCAAATCTCACAATCTCTCCAAATGAAACTGCAACAATGGCAGTCTAATTAAGTTACGTAAGTCCGCCGCTACCATTTTGTCTGTTGTTAAAATAAACCTTTAATCTTCATGCTCTGGAAATACGTGACAGATTCGACCGCAGTGAATTCCACGAACAGTTCACCATGGTTCTGGCATTTAGAGTTGTCAGGAGTATTGTCTGTGCATGGTATCCCTTTAAAGGGTCGCTCACAGATGCCATAGTTGCCTTTGAGGTGAGGTGAGGATATCTCGTTTCCTCGCCAGAAAAGAATCTATATATATAAAATCGTGAATCTGTCTGTCTGTCTGTGTGTCTGTGTGTCTCCGGAACATACGCACTTTCATTGGACGGCGGTTGCCCCTGGCAACGGCTAGCGACGCCTTCGCCGCTTTCATTGGACCTGGCAACGGCTAGCGACGCCTTCGCCAAGGGCTGCAGTTTCATTGGACGGCGGTTGCCCCTGCCAACCGCTAGCCACGCCTTCGCCACTTTCATAAGCTCCGTAATTAATTAAATAATAGCCATTACACAGTGTTGTTGGAGCGCTGAGGGGGGGGGGAAGGAACGCCACCCGTACCCTGCCTCTTCCAAGTCGACAATTTTAGGCGAGGCCGCAGGCTTTGCACGCTACTAGGCCCCAACACCCACCACGCCACTCTGAGGTAAATTCATCAAAGTTTTTCCTACTCTTCACTACACCCCCACCACAATGTGTGCTATTAATATTACTTTTAAACCCAACGCGCCAACAATCGATTACTTTAATGTTCACTGTACAAATACTCATTAAGCTGGGTGAGCGTACTGACAGTCTATTATGTACACTGTAGCCTGCTTATTAAGCTCTGTCAGCGTACTGCCACTCTATCATGTAGACTCTAGCCTGCTTATGAAGCTGAGTGGGTGTACTGGCAGTCTATAATGTAGACTGTAGCCTGGTTATTATAATCGATTCTTTAAATGTTCTTTGTACAAATAGTCATTAAGCTGCTTTAGCGTACTGCCCGTCTATTATGTAGACTGCTGCCTGCTTATTCAGCTGGCTGGGTGTACTGCCAGTCTATCATGTACACATTAGCCTGGTTAGGAAGTAAAGTTAGTCAATTTGTAACACGTACGCTTTCGCAAACATTATTCATAAACAACGTTATTGCGTTTAGATCGCCTTATTTATTAAGGTGTTGTCACCCTTATCCACCACCCGACACGCCCAATCTGCACAAAATTGTCACGTTCATAAAAGACTAAGACTTGACTGCTTTAGCCCACCGGTGTGTTCAAGCGGAAAACCACAACAATTACCATTTCTCATGAAAAAACTACTGTATAATTATGTTTAAACCACACGCGCCAATAATGGATTTGTTTAAATGTTCACTCAACAAATACTCATTAAGCTGGCTGAGCGTACTGCCACTCTAGAATGTACAGTGTAGCCTGCTTATATTTCTGGGTGGCTGTACTGACAGTCTATCATGTACACATTAGCCTGCTTCTTAAGTAAAGTGCGTCTTTTTGTAACACGTACGCTTTCGCAACCATTCTTCAAAAATAACTTTATTGCCTTTCGCTCGCCTTAATTATTAATGTGTTGTAACCCTCCACCACCCACACGGCCAATCAGTCAAAAAGTGTCCCGTTGATAAAACACTCATAAGTCTCTGCTTTGGCCCACCGGTGTGTACAAGCGTAAAACCACAACAATTACCATTTCAGAGTACGTCCTTTCGCTGATGCTGGATGCAATTACCAGCCAAACGTCGTACTGTTCAGTTGTCTGTCCATCTGTGTACGATCGCTTGCGAGGGATTTGCCGGGAGGCACGTCCCGTGCCCCGCGATGGGAATACGCATGTCACTGTGTATGTGTTTGTGTGTATGTATGTGTGTTTGTGTGTATGTGTGTGTCTGCGTGTATGTATGTGCGTGTATGTATGTGTGTGTATGTGTGTGTGGGGGGGCTAGACGGGCGCGGCACGGGCTGGAGAAGAGATGGAGTGATGTGGTACAGGAGGACGTGGAGCTGAGTGGACTTGCCGATGACTGGTACCAGCGGTGTCAAGATCGGCTTCAGTGGAGGAGGCTCGTGAAGGACGCTACTGGGCAGTTGGAGGCAGTCGCCCTCCAACAACAATGGAGGGCGGAGGAGCGACGCTCACAACAACGAGCGGAGCGCCGGGTGGCTAAAGCACAGCAAGTTGGCACAGTAGGGGGCACAGGTGGTGCATCAGCCAGTCATCTCGGTCATCTCGGTCAGTCGACCAGTGGCACCTGGGTCTGCCCCGTGACCTCCTGCCAGCGGGCTTTCGACACTTCACGTGGCCTCAAGGTGCACTTGGCCTGGCACAAGCATCGTGGTGACGTCACCGCCACTTAGTGGCGAATGGCGGTTGTTGTTGTTGTATGTGTGTGTCTGCAGCAAGCGCGTGTATGTGTACCTATGGACGCGCGCGCGTGTGTTGTGTAGGGGGAACGGTAGTGTAGTGGTTAGCGTGCTGTCTGTGTCTGTGTGTGTGTCTGTGTGTGTGCGTGTGTGGTGTGTGGGGAGCGGTAGTGTAGTGCTTAGCGTGCTGTCTGTGTGTCTGTGTGTGTGTGTGTCTGTCTGCGTGTGTCTGTGTGCGTGTCTGTGTGTGTGTGTCACGGCTAACACCAGTGACGATTATCTGAACCGGTCCTGGGCCTCCCCTAGGTCGACTCAGCCTTAAATGAGTACCTGGTGCGGTGTGTAAACATCGCCACTAGGGAGACAAAGGCGGTCGGGCGTGGTGTTGGCCACCCACCCCCTCGTGTACCGTTCCGGCCTTCATAGGTGCTCGCTAACAGCACTTGCCCCTACAGTCTGTTAAGGCTATACGGGGGATCTTTGTCTTTGTCTGTGCGTGTGTGGTGTGTGAGGAGCGGTGGGTGTAGTGCTTAACGCTACGCTGCGCTACAAACCCGGCGAACCCAGTTCGATTCCCGCTCATGGCCACCACCGGTGACGATTATTTGAACCTCCCCTAGGTCGACTCTGCCTCAAACGAGTAACTGCTGTGGCGTATTAACATCGCCACTGGGGAGACAAAGGCGGCCGGCCGTGGTGGATACAAGTCCCGGGCGAAGCCGGGTAGTACAGCTAGTATTTATTGTAAGTTAAAACAAGGGGAATTGGGCTAATGCCCGTATCCTCGGTAGCAAGACAGCACAAAGCAAGTAGGCTGCTGATTAATCCCTAAAAAGTGTGAGTACAGTGCAATAATATATGTTTGGTTAAACACCGCATGCAGGATCACCCTGAAAAGTATTCTTAAACGCTATCGCATTGTTTTGTGTGAAGATCATTACGAGTATTGTTAGCTCCAGTAGCAGTGTGAACAAAACGTCGCATGGGCGACGCAGCAAAACGAAAATCCTCTGGAACAGCTAAAGAGCGCATGCTAGCGGCGGACATATGGAATTAATTCCACGCAGCAAGTGCAATTCCTATTGGCCGTGTTGTGTCGTCACGATATAGTTCACTGTGACATAATAGCTCGTACGCGTAGCACGATTGACAACAATGAAAAAGGGGGTTGCTTTTTCGATTTAAAGTTTTCGTGACTGCAGGGATTCATCTTCTTGGTTCTTTCGGTAAAGTCACGTAGAAGGGAAATAATAAAATAATAAAAATATTAAACATAAAAAAGACGCTGTCTTCCCGACAGACTTGTTCTTCATCTTGAGGATGGCTGCTTGCGTTGTGGCCGAAACGTCGTGAGAATTATTTTATAATATTTTGTTTTTATTATTTTATTATTTCCCTTCTACGTGACTTTACCGAAAGAACCAAGAAGAGGGGGTGGCTGTTAAGGTGTTGTGTTTGTCTTTATTTTACAATGAATGTTGTCTTAACTCGATTATAACAATCCGAACGTCTCCAAAACTGCTCAAAATCCAAACTCCGTTTCAGGCTACACCACAGTAGCGTGGTGCCTTCCGCCCCCCCCTCCCCGTGACCAAAGCTACGAGTTTGACCCCCCTTGACATGCACCATGCGAGATATTTTCAACAACGGTGTAAAAGAACGACGACACTTATTTAAAACGCGGTTGAAATGTATTTTCATGAAAATGCTTTCATTTACGTTCCACCTTTTTATTTTCATTCAACGAGAGCAGCCGTAACGATTTGGCGACCGTGCGAGACAAATCAAAAATTGGGGCTCCCACCTGACCCATTCCCACAAACCCCTTGAGCTGATGATGCAGTTACCACGCCACTGGGTTACACCTATCCGTCCCCCACCACGCACATGATGGCATGACACATGAGTGTGTTAGTTGTTGTGTGTGTGAGAGGTCTGCTCCCACTAGCCAGGGCATGCAACCCCTGTCCGCCTTGGCCACAGTCCGAGTATTTATTTGGCGGGGGGGGGGAGGTCAAAGGCCAGGGGACAACATATTGCACTCCAGGCCACAACCAGAGCTCAAAGAAGCACAACACGCCACCATGAATACGTTTACATTTCAATGTAAATACTAAATAATATCTTTACAACAATTTACAACAAACACCGTCACAATATTTGTGTGCATTTGCAGTCAAGTGTTCCACGAGCATCTCACCGATATTGAACTGTGAGCCAAGTGAGGATCCACAAGCCGATGACATTTTTCTTGAGATTTCCATTTTCACATTTCCATCTTTCTCATGCACCGGGAGGAGAGGGGACGGGGGGGGGGGACTGGCTACAATTGCCCGGAGCTCTGTACGGCGTACCCACCTCTGCACCGTGGAAAGTCCCTTTGTTTCTAACACTTACCGATGTCCCCGTGACCAGACTGCCTTTGTGCACGAGTTCATTCAAACACAGATTTGGCAGCAGTTGCTACATATGAAACCAATACAGCATTTCGTTTTGACAACAGCAGAAACCTCCCAATGTTCTGTCACCAGCCCTTGTCACCACCCAGTTGTGACAGACCTCCCCAAGGTTCCAGCTGACACAGCAGGCAGCAGCAACAGCAAGCAATCCCACCACACTGTCAACTGCTCCTCTTCACCCTGCTGTTGTTGTTGTTGTTGGCCAAGTGACTTCTGGCAATCCCCTGTTTCCTCAGCAACAGGAGCAGAAAGAGGAGCAAGAAGCGACAGTAGCAGCAACAACAGCAGCAGCAGAAGCAACAACAGCAGCTATAACAGCAACAGCAGCCATCCCGACTGTGTTCTGTAAGCAGTGATCTATTCTGCACTGTTGCACTCAGTTGCTTGCTCACTCGATTACAGCATTACACTGATTTCTTAACCATTCTTCCACTTACACAACATTAGTAAACTAGATTTTTTGCCCATCCAAGGACGAATGTATATTGCAGTAAATCTGAAATATTCAATAGAAAAATTGTTCAGCTCATGATTATTAATGAGGGGGGGGGGGGGTTGCCCCATGTGGAGTGATGTCACCCGCTAATGGTTATTGGGGAGGGGTACGGCATGTGGAGTGACGTCACCCCTCATGGTTATTGGGGAGGGGTGCGGCATGTGGAGTGACGTCACCCCTCATGGTTATTGGGGAGGGGTGCGGCATGTGGAGTGACGTCACCCCTCATGGTTATTGTGGAGGGGTGCGGCATGTGGAGTGACGTCACCCACTCATGATTATTAATGAGGGGGGGGCTTATTTTCAGTGACATCACGCACGGATGTAGCACTGTGCTGAGCAGATTTATTTTTTACCATCACTTTCTGGAAAGAAACGTCATATTTGAAGCGACTTTGCGTAATAAATTATTTATTTCAGCTCGACCTTCTGCGTTAGTGTAAAAATCCACCCACTCATGAATATTAATTAGGGGGGTGGGCCTCATGTGGAGTGACGTCACGCGCGGGACGGACAGACATTTCTGGGTGATTATAGTAGGTAATTCATGTATTCTATAAATCTTGACTTAAAGCTTTCGTGACTGCATGAATTCATATTTTTTGGGTCTTTCGGTGAAGTCATGTAGATAGATAATTGGTTCTTTAACCTTCTATCTGGCAACAAAACTGACACCTTTTTGTTGCCAGATAGAAGAGTAAAGAACCAATTATCATATTTTTACTGGCAAATGAGGTCCCCATAGTGTCATGTAGATAGGTTCAAAGAAAATAACAAATAACTACGACGTTTCGATCGCAGCACAAGCGGCCGTCATCAGGAAACGGGGGTTAACTTCTAAAGGCAACTGTTTATAATCGTGTATTCTATGTTTTACGAGATTGCGTCCCAAGCTTCTGTCCCTACATCTCTAAATCGTCTTCTGCCTCCATCATCAGCTCCTCTTTCCCACCTCTGTCCACGTTCTTCGGCTCTGTCCATGCTGGCTTCTGAAATGTCTGTCTCACTGCTCTTCCTGCTCCCAAGACCTTTGCTCTCACGCTTCACCATCTCGACATCCTTAGCTGCGGCTTCTCCTTTCTTGCTCCATCAGTTCCACTTTCCTTGCCGCACACCACGAGGTGGGTTGGGGCCAGTGGGTAGTGGTGGATGGGGGCCAGTGGGTAGTGGTGGGTAGGGGCCAGTGGATAGGGGTGGGCAGGGCTAGATGATTATAGCCAATGAATAATCGTCCATGGTTGGTGGAAATCCACTTACAGATGAAAATAGGTGCCAATTAGTCCACTTGTTGTACTGCCTTCTCATAGCCAGCCAGGATATGGCACCCAATGGAACTTTCACTACGTTTTGTGCGATCCACCAATCCTTGCCTCCGCAGTGCTTAGATTGCAGGCGTGCCTCACCATCGCCCCCGCTAATTACCAGCCGCTCTTTGCGGGCTGGTGACTCAGTGCCCACGCGATGACAAATGTGGTAACGTAAACTGATTTCCCCCATTCAATATAGTCAGGCAATAGATCAATGCACGTTTATGGCCTAATTGACATGTTTTAAAGTATTCGCCTACGTATTTCTTTTACGCCGGCCGTCTCTACCATGGATTATGAAGATTTGATTGTATGCACGTATCTTCATAAAAGTCACATTTGCCAGTCTGACAGCGTTTAAACTGGTTGCCATAAATAACCTCAGTAAATCAAGGGTCTCAGGATAGATCAGCTTGCCAATGCTTATATATCTCGCGTGATATCACCTGTTTCACCAGGTATTAAAGTGCAAGAGATTTAAACATTCGGAAGGCAATGCAGCGGCGGTTAGATAAAGTGCATGCCTTAGAATGTAATGGTTTAGAATGCACAAAGTACCTTTGGAAGCTCACTCCTCTCGGAACACAAGCAGCTCTCATAGAGAGCCTTGTGGCAATGTCTTCGTGCTCGGTTTTAGCGTGTGGGTGGGTTAGACTCGGTTACATCATACAAACTTGTCAGATTACTTTGGTCAGTTGTGGGTAGTGCGGCTAATTGCATGATTGCTATTTCTCTGAGCAATTAACGGTTCTCCTTCCGGCCACACCTGCCGTGAGGAATTCGATGCAACTTGTTTCAGGCTCTCTTTTCTACTCATCTGGAGCGGTGCGGTGAAGTGATGGACACAGGCTTCAGAAAGATACTGAAGTGCTGGTATCACTTATGGGCACCTCCGATTTAGCACGCTTGGCTCTGCATGGTGCGAAAGAAGTTCATACATACATACACATTCATCAGTGTAACACGAAGGCTTTCGCGACCAATATTATGATGAGTTAAATGATGACGTCACCCTGCTGCTGCTGCTCTATTTAAGACCGGGAGCAAGAGCAGAGCCTCACCATTCTGGCGAATTGCCCGATGATGCTGGATGCAATTACCAGCGAAACGTCGTACTCAAAAATTGTAAATGTTGTGGTTTCATGCTTCAACACACCGGTGGGCTAAAGTAGTGAACTGTTTGTCTTTTGTCAACGTCACACTTTTTTGCTGATTGGCCGTGTCGGGTGGTGGAGGGTTATGACACTTTTATAAATATCGCGATCTAACCCAAAAACGTTGATTATGAATACACATTAATGTCTGTAAATATATGCTCTTCGTTTAAAAAATAGAATTACTTCGACACATTTGCATATCGTTTTAAATGGATATACTGTAGTCATAATTGGACAAACTCTTGCATATTATTATCCCACATTACCATCCTTCACCCCATCTTTGCACTCCTGTATTACAAATAACAAATGGTATTTGCCATCGCTTTACAATTTATTTCCAGATATAAACGTGTTTCCCGATCAGGCTTTCTTAAGTTACTTCAAGAATTACTCAGCGGATGCGTTAGATCCGTCGCGACTTTCGTGATGTGGAGTTCATAATAGTTACTCTATCGTGGGCATTTGAGAAGGTAAACACGAAAATTGTAACAATACAGAGCAAAAAACATGCCATAATTGTGCGTGGCACAGTGAAATGTGTCCCGCAAGGTTCCATCGTTGATCTTTTATTCTCAACACATCTCCAGCAAAATCATCTCCAGTTTTAATGATGACCATCGCTTCTACGCCAGACATCAAAAACCAACGTCGTCATTGACCACATGATTATAACCTCCACTCTCACACCCTGCCTGAACACTGTCGCATTTTGGTTTGGTTCAAAGCTTCTCCAGCTACATAAATGTTGCCAAAAAATGTACTCATTTGCAAAAAAATCCACTCGTGTTCCAGGTTGAATGTGCATATCTTAAACTCTAACAATTACACTGGAAAAGAGTGCAAATCAACTAAGTTGTCATTGATCCCGAGCTCTCGTTCTCTCCATATATCCCAACTTTATAGGACCTCATACCTCCATCTGCACATCATCTCCCGAATACACCATCTCTAACCCAGCTGCTGTGAATGCCCAAATCCATGTCTTTGTCAGAACTCGGCTCAATTCCCTCACCTCCAAACTCCAAATGATCCAAAATAATGCTGGCAAACTCCTTGCCCACACCCGTATGCATTACCACGTTGACCCCAGTACTCTAATCCCTTCACTCCTACCCCATCCAGGGGAAGGTCAATTTCAAGATCCCACTCATCATCTTGAAAATCCTCAGTGGACTTGCTTAATTCTGCCTACCTCTCTTCCCTCTCGTCTCACTCTACTCCCTTCCACGCATTCTCTGCTCCGACAATCAAGACCTGGGAGATCGCTCATTCTCCTCTGCTGCTCCCACAGACTGGAACTCCCTTTCCCCCATCCTTTCATGCTGTCGATTCCCTGTACCTCTGTTCAAGTTCAGGTTTTTTTCCGCTTCCTACTTCCTGTGAGTGACAATACAATATATAATGCCTGTACAGCATCTGGATACACATATAGTTGCAATGCGATAGACAGACATCCAAATTGTATTGCCCTGTAAATAAAGATGCAAACACTGGTGCAACCCTTCTACTGAATGACCTATGTGGGTGCAGACATCCAGAAATGTCAGTGATGGAAATATGGGCATCACAATATCAGCAGAGTCTTGGCCATGAAAACACAATGAGGCCTTATGCCACTACGACTCTCATTCTTAATGAGCCCGGCTGCTGTTTTCGCTGCCTGCACGAGAACAAGTCCCTCGTTGCAGCCTCCCTGCTGCACCCGCTCATTCAACAGTGCACAACAACGGCACATGTGCTCGGCTTTCCCAGCACAAAACAACTGCTCCTCTTAAATGACCCGCATGGAAGTTAAACCTGTTTTCACGTGGCAAAATGCGGTGGCTCACAGCCATACACCGCTTTAAACGTCGCGAATGAAGGGACGCCGTAGAACCGGATTGTTCTGGATCACAGTCTGCATTTGCACAATGTTGCACGTTACTGTGATCTCAAAATGGCATGAAATGGAAGTCAGTCGGTGAGAGGTGCAACTACTGAAGCGTTACACTTTTTTCTCCAAAGTGAGTCTCGGGCCGGCCAAGCAGATTTGCTGAGAATCTCTTCAGGCTCGGCATCTGCCCGGGCACATGTTGCAAACTGCTCAGGCAGACCAAAGTGCCAAGTGGAAATCTAGTTGTCGTGGTGAGAGGGAGAGGTGGGGAGAGGGAGCTGAGTGGTATGGGTGTCGGGGCAAGGATTAACCCTTTCCTACAAACCAGTAGTGCTAAATTGCCAGGTTTTTTTTCTTCTCGCAAGAAACACTTTAGGGTAGCTGTTCTACTTTAAAGGCAATAGTACAACCAGACACATTGCTAAGGACAGACATAGCAATTTTATTCAGTCATACCGAAGCCTAAAATTGACCTCATCCATATATAGCACACCCATGCAATGTGCCAT